TGAAGTCTCCAACGGTTGTGTAAGGCCAAACTCCACATATCTTCATTTGTATCAACAGCTGTCTCGAACTTCTACATAGCAATGATGTTCCGATGATGCCTCTGCCATTATTGTCCAAAATGGACGCCAGCCATCATCAGCATTTTTCGCCCATCCCCAATCTGCAGGTGAAGGCAGCTCTGGGTTTGCAATTTGAGACTGTCCCCAGATGTGACCAGCCTGAAAGACTGCCCTCTTCACATGTTGACGCAGTGACTCCTTTGTCGGTGGAATGTTTTCCAATTGCCGATTTCCCTGAGCAAACAGCTGCTTCCGTGCTTTGTTCACTTTCTTCAGAAGCGAAGTTCTACTGTACAGAACAACGAGGACCCTCTCTATGTTGTTCATGTCATCATTTGTTACTTCAGCTGGTGCATGTGAGAGATGATTGAAGACCTCCTTCAAGTTAGGCATGGAATTCCATATGTTCCACGCGGTCCTTTTGCCAATCCCAGATATGGCAGAAACAGTATCGCATCCGGAAACAGCGTGCAGGAACAAAAGGCCCCATGAGCGTTCAGGGCCAATGTGAGTCGCAATAGTGTGAGCAGCAATGTGCCTGAAATTGTTTCCATGTCCAAATTCTAACCACATTGCACAGCCGTCCATAACGCTTGCCATCGCGATCGCCAACACAACCACATCCGTGTCCGTTGCATGAATTACTATACTTCTGTGCCCCCGCTGATATGCATGCCAAGCATGTAGCAACATGCGTGAATCAGCCTCTTCATGCGTACATGGTTCAATTTGAGAAACATCAGAATGGGGCTTTGATTTAACCTCTTCTTCATTGGTTGTTAGTATTTTCCCATCTGAAACAGCCATCGTTTGCAGAGCATCTGCAAGGAAACTGAATAGTCTTTTTGTTGGAATCTACACGAAGGAAGCTGCTCCAGTTTCGTGGTACGGATGTCTGTTCAGTCACATGGAGTGGTATGCCAGTGCCACGACCAAGCCTGGTGCTTCCTTTGAGACTGTCCGTTCTGTAGGTGTCCCACACTATTTCCTCGTTTTATTTTCGGGCAATGTACGGAAGGAACTGTTTCTGTGCATAGTCACCAAATGTCCTGACCACACTGTTGCACTTCGTAGGCTCCAACTGGTGGACTAAGGCAGCCCCATCGAAAATGCTAACTACTTCTTTCGGCATATCATGAGGACGTGGAGCTTCCAAACACGGCAAAAGTTCAGCTTTTCCGGTCGGTGGGCGCATTGTATTTATATCTTCAGCCAATGCTGGTGGCCACCCATGACACTCATGTTCAAAGAATGTA